GCATAAGAAAAAAGCTCACCTCCTTCAGAAACATAGAAGTCTGGTTCTTCCTAAATAAATGGCAGATTTAAATATTTTCAATAATTAAAAAAGTGTCCCAAAAGTCTTGGTGCAGTTTTCCCTTATTAAAGCTATAAAAAGCTTAAAACTACACTAAGACTTTTGGGACACTCTGTATAGAGGAGTGGGAGAAAAGAGAATGCTTAGAACCAAAGCAAGTGGTTCTGCTTTCACACAGAAAGCTCAGACAGAAACCTCAAATTATGCACAATATTAATCATGGTACAAACAAAACAACTGATGATACATTTAGAGGATTATTTCAGAAAGAGGAATGAGTACTATAAAGGAGATTATAGTATCATAGATTCAGAGTTGGAAGGGATTTTAGAGGGTACCATTTTACAGATAAGGAAACTGAGGCCCAGAGAGGTTAAGTGTCATACTCAGTGTCACATAGCTAGTAGTATCTAAGGGAATTTTAATTCAGGTCTTCCTGACTTCTTAGTCATCATTATATTGGAAAAGAGATAAGGAAAATATTAGAATCCTAAGGGGGGTGGGGAATCATCAATACCAGGAATGAAGTATTCCCAAATGTTCTCTCTTGCTGTCTCTCTGTTTCTCTCAGTGTCTTTCTCTCTTCCTGTTTTTCTGTCTCTGTGTTTCTGCGTCTTTGTGTGTCTCTCTCTATGTCTCACACACACACACACACACACACACACACACACACACACACACATACATACATGGTGAATATTAGATGAAGAATTGGAATCCTTAATACAACAGAGGCAAGGCCAAGTTGTAGAGGTTATATTTCAGGTGCCATAGACAGGGAGTGGAGAGGAAGAGTGTGACTTGAATCCACAATAATTTTAGGATTTTAGTGAGGCCATGTTGGCAAAGGGACAGAGGATGACTTGGGTAAGTTCCAGGCTTGTTGCAATCTATTTACAAAGGAGAAAAAACAAAAGTAAGTTGCCCAATGAAGTTTAAAAAAGAAGCAGCTAGTAGGACAACATAAAAACTTAGGGGATGTAAGGAAAGTCAGAGAGATAAAAAGAAGCATAAAAAAAACAAGACAGGCTTACAAGGGAGAGCAGAGACAACTTTTAAAAAATTAAGAAGAGAAGCCAAGAGGGCAAATAAGAAAAGAGAAGAACCCATGAGCAATAAGGACAAATAAAATGAACAGAAATTGAGATAGCTATGTTCAAAACTGTACTATAAACAATGAGAGAAAGGAGAGTGGCAGGGACGAATCAGAAAGGGAAATTAGAAAACTGGAACAGGTAGCAAAAAACAGCCAAAGCAAGGAGAAAACTATGCTTTCCTAGGCTAGAAACAAAGGTAACATTGGACTTCTCATCTGCTACGTTTGAGTTCCTTTGCCTCCACTATACCACCACCACCAAACAGACCCCTAGTTCAACAGGTATTACTGCTCTTAGAAACAAATTCCTCTCCTTCCAACCACACTTTCAGAATTTAAAAACCAAAAACCAGCACTGAGGCAAATACTGACTGCAGAATTAAAAAGAGATGAGCTGAAAACCACTAAAACCCTGAAGCTGTGTTATCTCTGCCTCTGATACTCTTTTAGTTTCTTCTCCATCCTTAGACAAAGAATTGATGAGGAGCCTAGGAAAACGAAGAGGAAAGAACACAATATGAGTGGTATATATTGAATGGTAGAAGATGAAGGAGCCTAGTAAGAAACAAGGAGTACAAAAATAGGAGAAGTTCCATCAGTAAGGAATTAAAAAAAGCAAAGAAAGATATAAGGAAGATACACTGCTGGGTTTTATGTTTGACATCAACTGTTGGACAACTGATTGTTGGACATTGAGGTGGTACAGTGGATAGAGTACTGGGCCTAGAGTTGGGAAGATTATCTTTGTGAGTTCAAATCTGACCCCAGTCACTTACTAGCTGTGTGATCCTGGGCAAGTCCCTTAACCCTGTTTCCCTCAGTTTCCTCATCTGTCAAATGAGCTGGAGAAGCAAATAGCAAACCATTTCAGTATTTTTGCTAAGAAAATGAATGTTCATACACAACTGAAGCGACTCAACAAAAACATCAACTATTTGACACACACAGCTGGATGCAATTTTTGTGATTATTAAAAAGCAAACCAAGCACACAGGAGGACTTAGGAAAAATGCTAGCAATAGAAAAATAAAGAGAACTTTTTGACTGTCTACTCATGGACACACCCAAGATTTTGTAAAGTTTTGTATGATACGAGCTCTGGAGTTATATTTAGTATTTTAGTAGAATACACACTTGTTGAATCAAAATAACATCTTCCAGCAAATCGCAGCTTGATGTGAAACCATTTGGTTTTTCCTCAGAGAAGAAAATGAAGAACAATATGCTCACCTTTATTTTATGCTTTTGTTTATGGACCTCAGTTATGCTTAATGTAGGGAACTCCTGGTATGGAAATTCTCTACACTAAGGCAGGCTGGCAAGTCATCTGTAATTTATGGTCTTAGGGTCTCCCACTGGATCCTGGGCCATCTCCATTCCTCCTGATCTATATCTTACCAATGGACCCAGATGGCTCTGGAGGAGAAAGTTAGGCTGGTGACTTCACACAGTCCTCCCTCACTTAAATCCAACTCACTTGCATGTCATGGCATCACCTCCCTGATGTCATGGTACTCTTCAAGAATGAAGGACAAACAACAACAATGGTCTTAGGGAATTGCCAGGGGAGCTCTGAAACATTAAGTGACTTGCCCACAGTCATGCAGATATTGTGTGTCTGAGGGGCAGCTAGGTGGTGCAATAGATAGAGCACCAGCCCTGGAGTCAGGAGGACCTGAGTTCAGATATTATGTGTCTGCATCAGGATCAGACCTACACCTGCATAGGTCATGGGGCAGGTACGCCAGTATACCTAGGCCCACCTATCATACTGCCTATGCCTACCTATTAACCCATGCCTTCCTTATTCCACCACTGGCCTGCTTTCTCCCCTATGCCATTGGCTGTCAAGCTGAGTTTGTTACTGATAAATCGTTAGTAAAGCTGATGTTTTGGGTGGGCATTCTGTGACATAATAGATCTGTCAAGTAAGGACACAGAAAACCAATACTGGAGATTAGACTGTTCTGTGTTGGAATTTTTCAGATGAGGTTAAAAAAATAATTTTTTTTTCCATTTCTTTCCCACTCTGAAAATCCATTCTGGTTAAATGAGTACTAGACCTATATGCAGCTGAATAGGACAGCTGGAAGGCTAGTTCACAGAATGACTACAAAACTTTCATGACCAAAGAAGTATATTTGCATTTCTTGTGAATCCTAAAAATACTATGGAAGATTATATACAACATTAACATTTTCAGTCAGTGAACACTGACTGAATTGTTAGTGATTGGCTTTCAAAGCCTTGGCACCTGGGTACCAAAGCTTAAATCAAGTCTGAAAAAATGAAAGTAGCTAGTGACCATGTGGGTAGCTAGATGGCATGTTAGATAGAGTGCTGGGCCTGGAGTCAGGAAGACTCATCTTCCTGAGTTCAAATCTGGCCTCAGACACTTCCCAGCTATGTGACCCTGGGCAAGTCACTTCACCCAGTTTGTCTCAACTTCCTCATCTGTAAAATGAGCTGGAGAAGGAAATAGCAAACCACTCCAGTATCTTTGCCAAGAAAACCCCAAATGGCGTCACCAAGAGTCAGACATGACTGAACAACAAAAGTGACTTCACAGTACAAAGAATATTGTTTTCCCTTTCCCAACTCTACAAGCATTTGAAAGTCATCTTTTTCCCAAGCGTTTACCATTAAATCTAGTTATCACTTTAACTAAGCCTTCTCACAAATATAAAACATACTCACTAAGAGGTTAATCACCTTGTTAATTAGAAGTTAAAAATAAGTTAAATACACACTTTAAGAAGTTAATTATTAAGAACTTTTTCTTTTGTCTGAGCCTAATGATAACCAAGCACCAGCCCGCCTGGTCAAAACTCAACAGTCAAGAATAATTCACATTTATATAGTGCTTTACAATTTTTTTTTAAAAAAAGTCAACCTCATATAATCTTCTAAGTTAGAAGCACAATTAAAATAGGTATTAAGAGACACAGAGAGGAAGTGTGGGGCAGGGAGCTAGAGCGGGGCTAGCCTGAGGATCAGGATGAACATGACTATAGGCCAGTGTCTTAACTTCTTGGTGTCCCAGGGCAGCCCTCTAAGACTACAACTTAAGGGTGATTTGCCAATTTAAAATTTGCTGATTCTTTGTCTGGTTTCAGTGTCCTGTTTCTCTCCCTTTTCTATCAGTGCAGCATTTTGCAAGCATGTCAGTGAAGTGATTATTAGCATCTTTATCATCAAGCTCTCAGAAGACGACAAACAAAAATGTTGCCAACTTTATACTGCAAAAACTGAGAATTACATACTTGAACAAAAAGGACAAGAGAGTGTCAATATAAACAAAAGAGGTAAATAAGCCCTTGGAAAATGAAAATTCACCTAAGTTATTGACTCCTCCTCACAGGGATGGAGTCTAATTTGGGCACTTTGCCAGACACTGAGCTAGGGAACTAAAAAGTGCATTGCAATTAGTGGACTAAGGGGTCAAAAGCGGTTTTTTTCTTTGCATAGACATTAGACTGTTGGATCTAAAAATTAAATATAAATTAGGACTGAATGTTTTATTATTATTCAGATATATTCTGAAAACTCATATTCCTTGTTAATCTTGAATACATATTGGTATTTTTTTTTAAACAGAGATCTACATAGCCCTCAGAGTCTTTGGGTTCCCAGTAAACCACTAAATGTTGGGAAGTACTCAGTAATGTTAGAGTTGTAGTAGATAAATTCTGATTTATGGAAGCACATGAAGGACTGCACATAACAAGTTTCAGATGGGACATAGCTTTATCTGTGTTGAGAGCACTGAAGGGCATCCAATTGGAACGTCTCCAGCAGCTTCCAGGGTGGGGGGGATCTAGCTAGGGCATTGAAATGGTCCTACCTTGTAAGCATCAGGAATGTTGACTGTCTCCCCATGTTCCCCAACATAGCCAATGATGCCTTTTCCCCAAGGCACCTGCACCTCATTAGAGTTCTCAGTGCTGCTGCAGGGAAGGAATGGGGTCCCAGCATGCACATCAAAGAACTTAGAGACCAGGCTCTTCTTGCCTGAGGCTGTCCCCTCCACCAAGAACAGGGAGCATCGGTCAGCATCCACCATGAGGCAGACGAAGATGAGGATCTTGTAGCTGAGACTGGTGAGGTCCAGGTCATTGGAAATCTCCTTGACCAGCTCCAAGAAGAACTGGCGTTCATTGTTCTGCTTAAGGTGGCACTTGTAGTCAATAGCTGTTGGAGGATATTGGGGTAAGTTGACTCGAGACTCCAGGAGGGCGCTGAGAATGTGGGCAGTAGTTGGAGGCAGGGAGCTGGCTTTTCGGAGCAGGGCCCTGCGCCTCACACTGCTCAGTGGCTCTTGGGCCCTGGATGTCACTTGCTCATCATAGGTCCTATTCACATGGATGGCTTTGGACCTGGCAAAGCTCTTTCTCAGCTCTTTCTGGGAAGCCCTCCGCTGTAGGCCCCCATCACCTCCACGGCTACTACCGGCCCAGTTGGGACTCATGGGAACGTTGCTACAATCTCCCACACCTGGACTGGGCTGACTGTTCACAGACCCCTGCTGGACAGAGACACCGCAAGTACCACCACTAGCAGCAACAGCAGCACTGCTTCGAGGGTCCTGGCCTCAGAAGCAAAGGGGCCTGTGGCTGAGACCCTCTGATTTTGGCCATGCTTCTTCAGCCACTTCTGCACCAGCTCCTGCCTCCCCTTTCTCATCAAATAGTCTTCGAAAAGCTCTGGGTGCCTGTCCAGGAAACTTTCCACCTCCCCGAAGTCCAGGCAAGGAGCTGACATGGTCCCAGCTGTGACTGCAGACACCTCTGGGACACTTGGGCACAAATTTTTACCTACTGCCAGTGAACTCTCTTTACCTCCACATGTTCTACCCCAATCAAGCACCACGAACTCCTACAGGACCCTCCTTTGCCAGCTTGTGGGTCATGTGGAGCAGAGGAATCCCAGCAGGCAGGTTTCGTCGCCTTCCTCCAGTTCAGAGGGTGGGTGTCCAGCTAGCCCTTCTTCTACCGCGCTCTGGGCACCAGGCTCACAGGTGCCTGAGCCGTGCTGCTGCCGCAGCTGCTGTTTGCTCCTAATCAAAAAAGAAAAAAGGGGGCGGGGGGAAGTGCGGAGCTAGCTAGTTGCTGCTGCTGCTGCCTCTGCCCTCCTTGCTTCTGTTTCTGCTGTTGCCGAAATCGGTGAGTGGACCACAGTGAAAGCAGTAAGGGGACTGATGCTTGGATGTTTGGGAGCTGTGGGGGAGGAAAGACACGCCCCTGAGTGAGGGGCAGGGACTGGAGGGAGGGAGCAAGGGAGGAGAGGGATGAAGAGCTCAAGTCAACAAGCCAGAGACTATGGCAGGCTGTCGCTCCATGGGAGGGAGTCAGTAACCACTGAGACAAAAACCAGGGGGATTGGGGTGGACTTTCTGCTCGGAATGGAATTAGGGGAAGAGGAAAGAAAGAAGAGTATTGTTCTTATCGTCTTCCCTCCTCTCCTCGCCTTTCGCAGCCCCCTCCTCCCCTCTCCATCTTCCCCCACCGGTTATTCAGCAGTATTTGTTGCACGAATCCCAGCAGGGGCACGGCTGGGACCTTAAGAGGAAGTGTTTGTGTTTTACAAGGAAATCCGAACCCAGAAGTTAGTTCCCTTGGAAATGAAGATGAACAAGGAGAGGTAGGGCTATTTTCTGTTTTGTTTTGCTTTTGGAGGGGGAGGAGGGTGATAGGAGGTTATTCACTTGCCAGATTAGAGTACTACGTGATAGTGTCCTGTACCTCCGGAGAACTCAAGAAATATTCATTGAATTAAATTTCCCCCAAAGTAGCAGATAAAGTTCTTTGTGCAACTGTTCCGTGTAGCTTGTGGAAATTCATTTACGAAGTAAAACGGAAACCGTATTTACCAGGTAAACCCATTAGGGGAAGCTTAGCTCAAAGTAGGATAATATACTCACTGGCCTGGAGAGAAGGGGATTGGGTAGGGGGAAAAGGGAAGGAGAGAGAGAAAGGCGGAAGGAGGATTCCCCCGCCCCAATCCTCTATATTTCTATGATTTCTTTCTTCTTCCTTCATGAGTGACTTACTCTGTAATCATTCCTTTTCATCCCCAAACCACAGTCAGATGTGATTTCTCTCCCTATGAATTTCTAGTGCTTTTATGTAATGAATTTGAATATTCTTTCTCCATCCTTAAAGTTCCCTGAACCTGACTTCTTTCTGCAGTTAGGTGTCTCATTTAGAAAGTATTTTCCTTTTTTTTTTTTAATATGGCTACTAAGTCTTAAACAATTCATGGGGAAGGGAGGAGCATGTCAGAGAAGTGAATCTTTGCAGGCAAGTGATCTTACTCCCAGCACAGGTTGCAGATCAACTCTGACCTTCCAGAGGAGAAAAAAGCGGCAGGAACAGGACTGTTGTGATCCAGGCTTGTATGATCCCATTAAAAGAGCTAATGGATAGGATCAACATCAGAGAAATGGAAGATACATGTACAATGGTGTGCAAGTAGTAAGAATTCAATCAACATTTATTGTATTGATCTGACTCCTGCTTCTCCATGAAGTATTCTAAATAGCCAAAAGTGAGGCCCACCAGAACCATCTTGGGGGCCTGAAAGTGGGATCAAGTAACTGACAGTGCTTTGAAGTTCTATATTTGTTCCTCTTGGACCATTAGCAGGGCCCAAGAGGATAAAGAGTGTCACTTGTTTAAAAGCTCTGTATTTTGGAGTTTTCTTGGATAAAGGAGAGAAGAGATATGGATGCAGACTGGGGAGAGGCCAGTCTTAGAATGTCATCTTATAAGAACACTGGGTTTGGAATCAGAAGATTTAGATTGAAATCCCAGCTCTGGCTAGCTGCGTAATTGAACATTTGGTCATTCTGTGCCTCAATTTCTTCAACTGTAAAATGAGAGCACTGGACCAGATAATCTCTCAGGTTCCTTACAGTGTGAAATTCTATGATATTAAAGGCAATAAGCTATTTGGAGTCACAGAGCTAATTGGGTAAAACTTCTCCCTGATTCATTTCTTAGTCTCAATAGTATTGTTAATTAGAGAAGGGCAGAGGGAAAGAGTGAGGTGAGAGACCTAGGGGAGATTGGGGGGGAAATCAACTTAATAGCATTTTGATGGCTATGGTTTGCTAAATCCCCTGCCTAAGGCTTCAAGTGTGAGAGAGGAAGCTTCCAAACTGCTTTGGCTCCTCATTTGCTTTTCACTGAAAAATGCTCCTTTTTGGTGGGGGACATGGGGAAGACATAGAGGCCTGGATTGAAGGCTGCTGCTTACCTAAGTGGATGATTGATGGCTTTGCTTCAGTTGACATTTCCATTTTATTTTCAGGTTCTTGAATGAAATTAAACCCAATCAGATCAGCTCTTGGGGCTCAGAAGATGCTGCCTGTTAGTGCTGTTTTGCTGCTAAGTACTTTCCTTATCCCTCCTCTGCCATTTTCCTGCCCTGGATAATTTTGATGGTTGTACATACTTTTACCCTCAGATGTTAGAGGGATTTCAGTCATGTGTAATTCTGCAAACAGTTCAGTAACAAGTATTTATTAGGCACTTATGTGCCTGGAACTGGGCTGAGCCCTCAGGATACAAAGAAAAAGCTAAAAAGGGGGGGGCAGCTAGATGATGAAGTGGATAGAGCACTGGCCCTGAAGTCAGGAGGACCTGAGTTCAAATCTGGCCTCAGACCAAACACTTGACAGTTACTAGCTGTGTGACCCTGGGCAAGTCACTTAACCCCAATTGCCTAAAAATTAAAAAAAAAGGCTAGAAAAAGAAGAATGAAAAAGCTTAAAAAAAAAGACCCTGCCCTCGGGAAGCTTACATTCTAGTGAAGGAGACAGCACACATATAAATATGTATAAACAAAATACATAGAAAGTAGATACAAAGTGACCTAAGAGAGGAAGGCATTAGCAGGAGGTATGAGGCAGGAACCAGGAAGGAGACCAGTCAAAAAGTCACTGAAGCAAAACTACTGAGCCTGCTACCTTAGAGCTGGAAGGTACCTTAGAGAAAATTGAATTTAACTCCTTCATTTTACAAATAAAGAAAATGAGCTCCACTGGCGAGAGTAATTAACTTGCCCAAGGTCATATAAGTAGTAAGTGCGTGAGCTAGTATTTAAATCCAGATTCCCTGACCCAAGATAAAATAATTAGAATTTATGAAGCACTTTAAGGTTTTATCCTTACAACAACCCTAGTAGGTAGGTAGGTACTAACTATTGTTCCTATTTTATAACTGAAGAAACAGGCAGACAGAGGTTAAGTGGTTTGCCTGGGATCACACAGCTAGTAAATGTCTAAATTTGTCAGATTTGAACTCAGATCTTTCTGACTCCAGGTCCAGTGCACTAACCAATGTACTACTAGCAACTTTTGATCCTCTTATCCACTACCCTTTCCACTACAACTTCTAATTTCATTGCTAATTTAAAAAGATATCATTTTCCTTTGAACAAAGGATAACCTTTAACATAAGGTCTCTTTGAAAGGAAAGAATATCTGGATATGGACTAAAAATACATAAAATAAAATGCAAAACTTATTGTGAAAGTTATTTTTAAATTTTCTTTCCATTCCAATAAAAATGTTTTATTCCTTTTTATCATCATTTCACTTTTTGTCATCAGGAAGAGAGCAATGGCAATAAAAATGAATAAAACTAAATGTATGATTAAAAAGCTGTCCAGCTTGATACAAGTCATATTTTAGGGAGAATTATTACCTCTTTGTTGTTCAGTTATTCTAGTTGTGTCCATCTCTTCATGGCCTCATTTGGGGTTTTCTTGAAAAAGAGTGATTTGCGATTTCTTTCTCCAGCTCATTTTACAGCTGAGGAAACTGAGGCAAACAGAGTTAAGTAACTTGCCCAGTGACTTATGAGCACACAGCACATAAGTGTCTGAGGCTGGACTTAAACTCAAGAAGATTAGTCTTCCTCACTGCAGGCCTGGCACTCAATCCACTGTACTGCCTAGCTGCCCTATTATCACTCTTTTTGGACTAAAATCTCAAAAAAAAATCACAGAATCTCAGAGTTAGACTAAAGCATAGAGGTCATCTAGACCAATTCATAACTGAACAAGAATCCCCTCTACAATATTGCCAAAGTGGTTGTCTGGTCTTTTTTTGAAGATCTCCAGTAAGAACTCAGTACCTTTTAAGGTAGCCCATCCTTAGTTTAGATATTCTGCAGCTCCATGTCTTCAGTGTAGTGATAACTTCATTCCCTGATTCTCCTACTGAATTTCTATTGAGTTGAGAAATGTTTATAGAGCAATACAAGGGAATGTGCCAATAAATAATTTCATAACCACTCTCTGGAAATAAAATGTATGCACAGATATTTAAAGTTTAATCTGCATTATTAACACTTTCTAAGTGAACAAAATAGCAAATCATAATAGTATCAAATCAAGTCAAAATAGTAAACCCCAGACATATAGTGATTTGTGAATTTCTGTGGTGTAAATACAGAGTTTAACAGGCTCTCCAAGCCTATCAGAGCAGGCACCAACATACCTTGGCTTATGTGGAACTGGAATCCCCCTTTCTTTGACTTTTACCCACTGCTCCTGAAACACCTTCTAAGCCTAAGCAAAACAGCTTGGAGTAGTGGAGAAAGCACTGGATTTGAAGTCAAAGGGCCCCACAGTCAAATCTTGGTTCTACAATTTATGCAATATTTTGGTGATCTTGAGCCACATAGGTCACGTGTCTGGGTCTTAGTTTTCTCATCGGCAAAAAAAGATTTTGGCTAAATGATTTCCAACGTCCTTTCTAGCTCT